AGTTTGGTTCTGGACTATTAAAGAGAGCAGATTGCGAGTTCTACTGGCAATTTGAAAGCAGCTGTAAATGGAAGATGAATTTCCAACCCCAGATGCTGGAATTACAATTTACAGTAATAATTCTAAATACAATGGAACACGGAACATTATAGTGACAAAAGCAGGTGTAAATGTAGGATTTTATATAAGACATGTTTCGAATGGCAAGTTTAACTTGATAGTTTCTAAAACACGAATTATGACACTAAGTTAAGTCATAGTGGAGCTATTATATAAATGATCAGCTATTAGTATTAACTGTTATCCTCTACAGTGATATAAATGTCACAATGTAAAACTTTCTCTGGGATTATGATAGCTATGTAACATGCTATAAAAATGTGCATCTTTCTATGATTTCTGTGGCTCATAAATTACTTTATTGTATTCCAAAACCTTTGTTTTGAAATACATAGTCACAATGTATTGCTTGGAGTCATGTGTGCCATCCTTAAGTTATTTTCAAGTGCTTTAGCCTCATTCACATTTGGTCAGTTCATCTTATATAAAGGCCAACTTTGGCCTGTTTTCAGCTAATGGATGCCAAGAAGTGCTGTGTCAATCTGCACTGGCAACAGTCCTGCATCCCAGGCAGTGTTTGGCTCTGCTTCCAGTTTGTCCTCATCTTTTATTCAAACTTTACTAAACCAATAAGTCTCATTAATCTCTGCAGCGAGGTGAACTACTCACCCACACTTTTACAAAAAGGTTAGCTAAGGAAACCGGGGTCCTGCATGGATGTTCACATCATTTCTTAAACTCACACCTGGGATGAATGTAAGTAGGTGAGACAATCTATGGTGACATTACACAATTGCTGTTTTATTTTCTAGGTCCTGTCACATACAAAGCACTTCCAAAAGAATAATGTATATATGACCCCACAACAATGGATCAATTTAACACAAGCCAGGGCCCTGATAATTCAAATTCGGCCATAAAGTATTTGCTCTTGTACTTTGAGTCAGGCCTATGCCAGGAGACCTGCTGCTACACCCTGTCGGACAATATGGATGATTAAATTATCTAGTCTATTGTGTTAAACTGTGTTTAGCTGTCTGGCAGACCTTACATACGCATCCACAGGGTGAAGAATAACACACTTTGAAGTCTGATTAAATCTATGAAGAACTGTTGAAGTGTTTTTTTTTTTTTTTTAGGAAAAAAGATCTAGGTTTAGTTAGAAGTAACATTTTTGAATCTTAATATGAAAACCTATAAAGATTCAAAATCGAATCTGATATTTTTTCAGAACTTACTAAGAAAATGAAAATGCAATATTAAGGTTTTTAAATAGACAGCAGCGTTCAGATTTGATCCACTTTTCACAAAGTCATCAAGACCAAAAAAAAAACAGTAAAAACCTACTCAATCCTAGTAAAGCAATAGAAATAGAAATGCTTTCCAAATGTTTCCCCTATCAGTCAGAATCTAAGTTGTGATCTGAATCCTTCAATCCACAGTGCAACAGATATACCTCCTCTGCATTAGGGCTAGCACTAGTACAACTCTAAACCCAATCATGCCATTCATGCATTTATTGCATTCATGATAAGTGAGCGTATGGAACAAAAGTTGCAGATAAATTTTCATACTCCAGTAAATAATTTGGAAAGAACAGATGTTTCATAAACATCCCATCAGGAAATCTACTGGTATCTAAGAAGGGTAATACATTTCTGATCGGACAAAGAGTGAATTGCTAAGAAACCTAATCATTTACTTTTTTAAATTTTCAAACATGAAGAAGACCAAATCTAACGCTTCTTATTGAAATATTATGCAACAAACCAATAGCATAAATTTGAAGTTGAATAAATAATGTTCACAATTTTTGTCGGCACTTTAATGCATTTTTTTTTTAGCTGTTAAAAAAAAGTCGTCAAACGATGTTTGGAGTATGCCTCCATCAGCTTTGCATATCAAAAGCCCTTTTGCCTGTCTTCTAGAAAAGCAGGTGAACTTCAGCTAAATTGATATAGAACACTTAAAAAAATCAGCAAACTCCAAGTCTTAGCAGAGATTTGTGCATTTTTAACCAGAAAGCTCTAACATGTTTATTTTCTATTACTTAAACCATTATTTTCTGACTCTGGCTGGATGTTTAAGGTTCTTGTTTCTTTGTATTTTCTCTGCATTTCCCATACTCTTTACTATTTTGAACAATGAAATTAACACAGCTCTATGAGGTGAGAGCTAAGATCCTAACCCTTCTCTAAGCTAAACTAAATTCTGTTTTGTTTGGTTTTTATAATGCTGAGAGTTCACTAAATATCTCCAATAAACCTTCAGAGACAGAACAGGTGAATTTATGTTGAGATTAAATTATACAGTATTTTATAATTTAGATTACTTTGAAATGATGCAAAGGGTTCAATAAAAAGACCCACAACATTTATCTGCCTGTTATTTGTAACACTACTTTATTTTTGTACACAATATGCAGTATTTTGTGTAAGTCTGTCAATTACAAGCATAGGTTTTTGTTACAGCTATTCATTTCATACATGTTTCAAGGTTGTAACTTATGGTAGTATTCCCTGTCTCTTACAGTATGTTTATACAAATATAAGCCAGGATTTTCAATTACTTTAATTTAACTTTTTTTGGGAGTGAATCTGAGGTATTGGCTGCAAAAAAAAGGTAGAATTCAGGAAATCATCAAGATTCTTCTATAAATCCTTTTAGAATATGGGCATCTGTCGTATAAGGTTCTTTTTCTTCCATTGATACACTTTAAATAAAGGGTATATAGTAGCTGCATCTCATTTTAAGCCATCATCATTTAGACATATGAGGAGGTAAAAAAAATCTCTTCTCGCTGCGGTCCTGGACGATTCGTGCTGATTGTAGAGCAACAAAACCTCTTTCAAAGCACTTGGCAGAACAGAGGACAGAGTGGGCAGATGAGGATGAGGAAAAGAACAATACAGAAGGAAAAAAAGTGCTGATCTCTCTCTCCCTCCCTCTCATTCAGTATGCTGACTGTTTCTGTACAGAAAACTGACTCCCACGCTTTTCTGCCTGGCCTATTTATCACACTGATCAGGTTATGAGGAACGCGGATGTACACAGGAGGCTCAGTCGAGATGTGCCTATGTAAATGTTTGTGAATATTCTCCAACCTTACAATTTGGAGCACAGACTAGCCTTAAAAAAAAAACAAATAAAAGGAAAAAAACACTCACATAAAAACAGCCAAAAGATCAAACTAATTATTCAATGTTCATCTGCTGCCCAGCCGTGCCATTCTTTGGGCTCACAAACGCAACATCAGCTGCCAGTAATGCACTACTTCAAAAGGATCCTACTGTGCAATCAAAAGAGATATGAGATGAGCTATCAAAGTGTCAATTTTTTATCATCAACCTTATTCCGCTTTTCCAATGAAGGCAGCACAGCTCAGTGTATCCCATGTGTGTTCAGGAAGCTACACTTTGTCCTCAATAATCTCTCTACTAACTGTCATCTATACCTACAGGGGTGGAGGGAGAGAAGAAAAAAAATACACACAACCTCCCTGAAAACAGTAATCCAATCAACCCGGAAACATCCTCGAAATAGCAGCCACCATCGCAGGGAATTCCCATCTCCTCTGAACTGTGCACAACACACCTCCCTGCATGGACATCCTCTACACAAATGGACTGATGGATGGATGTATAAATGAAGAGATTGATGCCATTTGCATTTCATCAGCACAAAGCAATGATCCTGCTGCTGCTTGCTTGCTTTAGAGATGCAGTGGTGTATCCTCAGAATATCAATGGTAAAACGGGAGGTGTGGGTGGCTGGAGGGAAACGCAAGCTCTGTTCCTAATGTCAGTGTGTTCAAGGAAGCATTAAAATGCATCTACTCAAGGAATATCCTGACAGTCTAATTAGTAGTCAAAATGGAAATACATGCAATAATTCTCCAACGCATTGTCTTGACATAATATCAATGAATTCAGAGGAACTTTTGATCCTGTTTTAGTTTTTTGTTTTTTCTCATGATATTCCCATGATAATTGGCCAAATTATCAAGATTGGAGTTAGAATTCTTTAAAATATAGAATATTGAATTATATTTATTTCAAACTAGTATCAGTGACAGTTTTAAAGCCATATAGCTAATAATTTAATTATTGATACTGAATGTATATTTATAATTCTATATTTTGAACCTTATAATACAAAATGTATCATTTTGACATATCTGTTTCAAAGAAATCTACTTCTTGAAGTTTCAAAGAAAAACATTTTGTCTACAAAATATATTCCTTAGACATCTACCTCTATAAAGCCTGTAATGCTAGAAATAGAACTTTTGATGCATGTATCTAAAGGAACTCTATTTCCTTCCTTTAATCGCATAACACTATTTTCATTAGTTTTGTTTTCGTTTTGTTTTTTTCTAAAAAAAAAACAAATGTCTGTGGCCTTATAAATACCATTAAATATGTTTTTTGTCTTCATAGTGCCTAGCACATCCTTTTACTATCCTGTCCACTTACTGGATTACTGAACTACTGTTTAAGTCCAGTAAGCTAATGTAATATTAATAGCTTAATCTCCCATACTCATTTTTAGTTGATACTCTCCTCAGGATCTAAGTCCTGCAGGATGTTTGTGATGTAGGCTACAAAAACCTTTTTTGTAGTTACAGGAGTACAAATGTGACACTAATAGGCTAAAATGTTTATATATATATATATATATTTTTTTTTTTTTTTTTTTTTTTGCTTTAATGTTTGCATATGTAAATATTTGATCAGAATCATCCAATGAGTAGGTCGGGTGTTCAAGTGTAGAATTTTCTCGGTTTAATTCAATAGAACAAGATTCTAGAGCCTAACTAAGGTTAAGCTGTGTTTCAGAGCCTGAATTGAAATAAAACCGGACAACTATAAAGACCATTAATGGAAGTTTTGGGATGGATTCAGCATATTTCTAAAGAATGGAAAGTAATGGCAACCTACCGCACAGCAGCTGCATCCAGGCACAGGTCTTGTAAACGGTGGAGGTGTTGCAGAAGAAGAAGAGCGCCATGCAGGCGATGCAGCTGAGGATCAGCACCATGGACAGCAGCACGAACACCGAGGCGGCCTTAAAGGCTCCCGACGGGATGGAGGCGAAGTCGGAGAAGCTGCCCACGCAGGTGAGGTCCTGGCTGGACGCCTGCACGCTGCCCACGCAGTAGTGAAACAGGCCGAAGTGGCCGATGTGCGGCGTCTTGACGCTGTCGCCGATCCAGTACGGCTGGATGAACACCACCACGTTGACGATGGCAAAGCAGATGGTGAAGATGGCCCACAGAACCCCGATGGCCCGGGAGTTGCGCATGTAGTTGTCATGGTAGATCTTGGAGGCTTCTTGGGAAGGCAACATGTTTGCTATTTTTATTTCTTTCTACTTCTTCTTTTACTGCACTGGTCTATCCTTCTTTACTCTTTCAAGAAAATGAATATGAATATGTAACCCCCCCACACACACAGATTGACACATAAATATCCAAAGCTCTCCTTGCGCTAAGATTTCCTCCGCTTTGCCTTTCTCTGGAATGGGCCTAAAAAATCATGGAACCTGGAAATATGTATGATACCCCAAAAGACAACACATTACAAAAATGACATGTAAGGAATGCTACATTAAAGCAATTTAAAATCATAGCCTACTTCTACTTCTGATGAATAATTTACCAACACCAGTGATTCAACATAGCTGGTTTTCCTTAGGGCTACTCCATGAATGATTAACTAAAAATCCATCAGAATTGGATTTATTTCCTTTCCAATCGTCAGGTGGAGGGGGCTAAAGCTGTTGTTCCTCCTCATCCATCAGTCCAGAGCTTTTCTTCAGGATGTCCTTTGTCACCATCCGGGGGATGAGATGGTGCCTGTAGCGCCAGCGGTAGAGCCCGTTTTTACCTTCCGAGGCATCCGTGGGGGTGCTCCTCAGCCTCTGCTCGCCTTTCCTTTCTAATGTCCACGCAGCATGTGGAAACCGAACCCGGTGGAAAGAAAAGGGGAAAATAAAAAAAACGAAACGCTCTCTGTTTGACGCGAGCCCTCTGTCAAATTTCAACAGTCCTTTCTGGTAAATCCGACATCCTCCACCGCCTTGACTCCATTATCATCATGGTTTTTGTCGTAGCCTTTAACCAGTATGTCTTCCCCCTCTCTCTCTCTCTCTCTCTCTGCTTCTCCGTCCTCCTCCTCCTCGCGTTTGTCTGCGCGCTCCCCGGAAGATTGTGATGTTGTAGGCTGCTGATGACAGCGATGGAGCGCGTTCACGTCACCAGCAGCAGCAGTGAGGAGAAATTTGCATCAGTGCGCGTCTCCGCCTGTGATCAACAGGTAACATTCAGGAAACCTGAATTCACTCACGTTTAAAGCGATTATGTTTATATTTTCTAAGAGATTGACCATAAAAGTTTGGGGGAAAAAATCAAGTCAATCTAAAATCTAATGAACATTTGAGCAGAACAAGGAAATAAATAGCTAATTATTAACCTCCCGGATACAAGCGGCTGAAATTAGTTTTCTCCATAGTGTGTCTGGGCTCTCCCTTAGAGAGGGTGAGGAGCCCAGTCATCGGGGGAGGACTCAGAGTTGGGCCGCTGCTCCTCCACATCAAGAGGAGTCAGTTGAGGTGGCTTATTGGGCATCTGATTAGGATGACTCCTGGACGTCTCCCTGGTGAGGTGTTCCAGGGACGTCCCACCGGGAGGAGGCCCAGGGGGAGACCAAGTGGCTGGGGAGAGGGACATCTGGGCCTCTATACTGAAGCTGCTACCCCGCAAACCGACCATGGATAAGTGGAAGAAGACGGATGGATGGATGGATGGATGGATGGATGGATGGATGGATGGATGGATGGATGGATGGATGGATGGATGGATGGATAACAGAGATGGGAAGTAACGAAGTACAAATACTTTGTTACTGTACTCAAGTAGATTTTTCTGATATTTTTACTTTACTTTACTACTTATTTTTATGCCGACTTTTTACTTCTACTCCTTACATTTTTACACAAATATCTGTACTTTCTACTCCTTACATTTTAAAAAATTGGCTCGTTACTTTAGTTTTGAATCATTTCAATGGAGTTACCGTTATTATTTTTCACGTCATCAATACCAAATTCAATCTAATTGGATGGGAATCTATGTTGCATTTGACGCACCACTACAAGATGAATCGACAGATTCGGCGGTATTCATTCGCGGCAAATCATTGCAGCTTGGCGGCGGTGGCGTTAGCATAGTAGTATGGACGACGAGATGATTGAAAATGAACACAACAGAGATCTAGTCCTATTGGCAGACATCCATTTAAAATGTAGGCAACGGCATGAAAAAAGTGGTTTCTACTTTTACTTTTATACTTTAAGTAAATTTACAAGCCTTTACTTTGTTACTTTTACTTGAGTAAAGAAGTTTAATCAGTACTTCCACTTTTACCAGAGTATTTTTTAACACAAGTATCTGTACTTTTACTTAAGTACGGAAAGTGAGTACTTTTGCCATCTCTGATGGATAACCTCCTTTCACTAAAGTTGTGTATAAACTTAATTGCTTTAGACTACCAAGTCATATTCTTTTCTATTAATAAATGCAGAAAATAATTCTTGTTTAATTTAGTTTATTGAACCATTTCTAAAATAGTTCCATGCATTTTAAGAAATTTAATTTTCTATTCTTAATAAATCTATTTGACCCAAGATAGGATTCATATCAAAATGCAACTGGATTTAACAACAAAATATTGATATAAATGAAAAAAAAAAATGTATTTTTTTGTTATTGTCATGATGGGTCTCTGTGATTAAACCCACACGCAGAACACCACACGAAGCAGGGTAAAAGTTTAACAGTTTATTAAAAGATGCAAACACAGAATTAAACAAGCACTGGTTCTGGTACTGGTCCAGGACTGGCTTCACAGAGTAATTTGCAAAGAGGAGTCGTTTGGTTAGGCAGGTAGCTGTGATGTCGTGACAGAGTCTTGATTCTGATTTGTACCTGATGAGGTTCAGACAGTTCGGTGGAGAGAGGGAACCGGTTGGGTCCAGAGATTGTGGATTCAGCAGAGAGTTCAGCAGCGGCAGAGCTTAGCTTCAGGCTAGCGAGGTTCAGACCTTGAGTTGTTCTCCTAGTTCTCTCCTGAGAACTAACTAGGAGATACAGACTGAGGATCTTCAAGTTTGGTTCTCTGGGCAGGCAGGCAGGTTTCCAAACATGAGCTCCTCCAGAGCTAGAGTGTTCAGTCGGGTTTTCCTAGGAGCAGAGAAGACAGAGACTGGTTAGGATCAGGTTGCTCTCTTGAACAGACAGAGATTCTAGTTCAGGTTGAGGCTCAGGTTCCTCTAACCAAAACTGGTCAACACTCCGGCGCTGAAGACAGGTCTGGCCGCTGCTTATGTAGAAGGTCTTCTGATAGGCTGATGATCCTCAGGTGTGCAGGAGGCTCCAGCTCAGGAGACCCATAGCGCTCTCTGCTGGAGACAGGTGGCAGATCTCCAGATCCCAACATTACCCCAGATCCCAACAGAAAAACATACAAACAGGAAACGATCCTCGGCGCCCTCTGGAGGGCAAGCCTCTGGATCCCAACAGTTATTAAGGGTAATCCCAGCCTCTATCTCCAATGCCTCACACCATTTGGTCGGCTTTAACATGCCCCATAGTGGCCAACCAAGAGATAATCAACTACTCCTCATATAGGACACTAGATAACTCATTCCTTCCAAAACATTTGATACTTGACTCAGGTCAGTGTGGAAAATTCAACAATAAGACAGTAGAAATGGCGACGATTAAACAGCTCCCAGCTGAGAAACATAGATATCAATTACAAATTTGACAACTTAATTTTATGGACTGATGAAACCAACATTATTTTTATTTTGAAGATGTGCAATCCATGACTTCTGGCTTTAAAAATATCACATATCTAAATGATCAAAATTTAATTCTAAAACGGTTGGCGTAGTGTGTTGGTTTGTTTTATGTTGGCCTTTTTTTTTTTTTTTTTTTTTGTTTTGTTTCTCCGAGGCGTGGTCATGTTTCTGTTTTTGGTTAAATCAGGATTCCGTTTTTTTTTTCTTTTTTAAATGGAGTGTACTGCATTAATAAAACAGGACTAATCCAATCTTCTGCCGTTCTGCTTCAATCGTTAGCCTCTTGCTAGCCCTGGCCTGCTGTAGCTTCCTCTGAGCCTCTCCTAGGCCTTTCTGAGCTACCAATGTGCTCCTCAGCTCTCTTCCTGAGAGAGAGCTACGGAGCACATTGGAGCACACAAGGTGCCATCTCTGCGGTTTCTTAGCCAAGGAGGGGGGCAAAGCTGGTCGGCTCATCCCGTTTATGGAGATCTCTTTCCCAATGTTCTCCAGTGATTCCCCACTGCATGTTGTATCACTTTAACTCTTTTGACCAGGTGATTCGTCCCCCTGTTTTGGGCACTCTCACAAAAACAAACATGGATAGAGAGGAGGAAAAAGATGCTACTCCGTTCAGAAAAAAAAAAAAAAAATCAAAAACCCAATAACCGGTGCTTGAAACCAGGCTGTTGCTGGTCGTGTTTGGTGTAAGTCTAGTTTACATACATATTTTTTTAAATAGTATTTTCTAAATAGCAGTTTCTAAGGTGAGGCTAACAAAAAGATTGAGACTTCATTTCATAGGTGATAATAAATAACATACATATAGATAATATATTACAATATGTCACTAAATTCCTGTAATTATTACACATTGTACTTTTAAACACACCATTGATGCTAAAAGAATACCCAGTGTTGATGAAAATAAATGTTTTATTTTCCTCCAAAATCACTTCGGTCGTAATTTTTGATGTGAGAGCCACTTTTGATTCAACATTTTGAAGAGTAGGTTTAAACTTGTGGTGTTTGCTATGCATTGGACTCCCTCTCTTCTTATCTATCTGGTTGGAAATTCTCCATTAGAAATTACCTACATGTTTTTCTTGTATTCTTTTCTTCTAACATGTGGGGTCCCTCAAAGGAGAGTTCTGGGCCTCGTAATTATTTCTTTATAGATTATTTCATTAGCTGGCTTTTTTTCTGATCTCTCCTGTAACATCTGAGTAAATAACATCCAATTTTTTATATCTTCACTTCAGCAGCTGCATAGGCTGCTCAATATCCTGCGTTTAGCAAATGTCTCTTCAGCAGTTTCCTGGTTTTAAATACAAAAAGGACATAGAGCATAACTATAGGCCCTTGTCACAGGTTTTCTAAAACAAATCACAGAGTAGTAGCTTCTTCTTTTTTATCAGGATCAGAATAGTCAGTTGTTTAAAAACTATGTTAAAAATAAGAATATTAAGTATGCAGTGCATTTGCAAGAAACAGCAAGACGAAAGACCAAAATAAAATGAACAAAATCCAGAAAAACTGCTTAATTCTAGTTGTTGCTTCATATAAACATCTGAATAGATAAAGAACATAAGTCATTATAGTCCATTTTTAATTCAGTGTTATTTACACTATATCAAAAATGGAACATGAAGTTCATCACAGCAGGGGTATAGTATATCACAATGAATACAATTTAAAGCTTTGTATGCAAAATATAATACTATACAAAAATATATATAATTATATAATATTTTTCAAATTGGGTTTTAAAGAACCAGTTATTAAAATCGACTTGTTCCTTTATATAAAAAACAGATTGTTCACTTGTTCAATTTAACTGTGACTAACCAATTCTATATAAAGTAATATTTTATTTTAATAGTCATAGCTCTAGAATCAAGAGTTGAATTACATATAAAACTGACCTCAAAACATGAAGAAGGCTACAAGATATCAGAAGCAAAACATGCAATACAGTGTGCAGGTCATTGCCAACATAAGTTGCCCCAGTAAGCAAAGCTTCATGTTTCCTCAATAATAAAAAGAAACTGACTGAAAACACTACCATGGCAAACCATCCATCCATCCATTTTCTGTCCTGCTTAACCCAACGGGGTCGCGACGGGGTGCTGGTGCCTATCTCCAGCTGTCTAGGGGCGTGAGGCGGGGTGCACCCTGGACAGGTCGCCAGTCCATTACAGGGCACCATGGCAAACCTTTTTCCAAAACAACAACTTATTAAATAGGTCAATATTTAAGGAAAAAACAGTGTTTTTCCTTTTAAAATTGTGTCTTCTCTCTTACATCTGGTATGAAAATAAAATATATATATTTTTTGAAAAATGCCATAATGACAACC